TTTCAAGATAGACTGGAATGAAGGCTGTTGAAATAATTTAAATGCTGTCAGCAAGTATTTATTGAGTGTCTACTGTATCATTGCACTATATACTGTGGAGGATACAAAGATGAGTTAACAGGTAGACTTATATGGCAAAGAAATAAATAATTGTAATATTTGGTAGAAAATTAAAGGTATGATTTCTCTCTCCCCAGAATCTCTGATCTGCCACAAGAGTGCCTCAAAGCAATGCAGAGGCTGAAAAAAAGACATCTGGTTGGAGATTTAAAAAAGGTTTTTTGAAAAAAGTGTCTTCTGAGATGAGCTATGAAGCTTGAGCAGGATTTCAAGAGGCAGAGAAGGGAAGGAAGTTCCAGACAGTGGGAAAACACTACTTTTAAAACTGGGTTCCATCCCAGGTCAGCAACCAGTTTTGTCCTCTTGAACAAGTTATATAGTCTCTTAGAACTGTAATTTCTCTTGTATAAAATGAGGATAAGAATTGTACCTACCTCATAGTGTTGTAAAATTTTAATAATAATACACATTCATTGACATATAATTGGTGTCCAAAATTTGTTAGCTGGGACTGTTAAAAATTATAAAGTGAGTGAAAAAGTGCAGAGGATAAGTGTGGATGTTCTGGAAACATGAAAACTAGTTGCTTTGAGTATAAGGTTTATGTGTGAGTATAGATGGCTTAGTCTGTTTGGGCTGCTATAACAAAATACCATAAACTGGATGGTTTCTAAACAACAGAAATTTACTTTTCACAGTTCTGGAAGTTGGGAAGTCCAAGATCATGACTCTGGCAGATCCAGTTCCTGGTGTGAACCCCTTCCTGGTTCATAGATGGCTGTCTTTTTGTAGAAGGGCCAAGGGGGCCTCTTTTATAAGGGCAATAATCCCATTCATGAGGGCTCCACCCTGGAAACCTAATCTCCTAATAAGGCCCCACATCCAAATACCTTCACAATGGAGATTAGGTTTCAAAATCTGAATGGGGGAGGGTGGAACGTCCAACCCTCAGACTATAGCAATAGTGAAGATGAAGCTGTAACGTATGGGGTGATATGTTTTTTAAAAATTTGATTTTATTTCTTTAGAATAGTTTTAGGTTCACAGCAAAATTGAGAAGGTAAAGAGATTTCCCATATACCATCTGCCTCCACACAAGCATAGCCTTCCCCATTATCAACATTCCCCATCAGAGCGGCACATTTGTTACAAAGGATGAACCTACACTGACACATCATAATCACCCAACGACCATAATTTACATTAGGATTCACTCTTGGTGTTGTACATTCCAAGTGTTTGGACAGATGTATAATGATATGTATCTGCCATTATTATATAATACA